TAAATAGTTGACAATTTGTGGTATATCTATCGAAATGTAATAGTGGTAATAATTTTAATTAATTTTATATTTCTCTGTTTATTTATTATAGTTATGTTGTTTGGAAATGAATGATGTTAATGCAGGATATTTAATTTGTTTAAAACGTGGTTTTTGTTCATGATAGCTAAAAAATAGATAATTAATTATATAAAACACTTAAATGCAATAGTAATGTAATATATATATATATATAATATACATAAATTTTTTTCTAATCACTATCATATAAAAAATTTAAATTTAAATTGCAATAAGAATTTTTTTGATTAAAAAGCAATTTAAAATTAAATTTTTTTCTAATCACTATCATAAAAATATAAAAAATTTAAATTTAAATTACAATAAGAATTTTTTTGATTAAAAAGCAATTTGAAATTGTATTTTTTTCAGCTTTTCATATTTTGCATATTTACAATATTTTATTCATTAATTAGTAATTTTTCTTAATATAAGAAATAAATAAAAAAATAAGATTATTTGGTTTAGAAATTTATACTAAAATTATGTAAAAACAAGTAAAAAAAATTAGAATTTTTTTGTCAAAATTAAAATAAATCATTGTAAAAAAAAATATTTTTTTTTAGAAATATTTGTAAATATGTAATCTAATTTGAGCGCATTTTATAAAAACAATGTAAATATGTTATAAAAAGAATATTATTTACTAAATTTTTTTTTAATTTTTTTCTTCATTATCATAGGATCATTTATAAATACTTATATACTTATAACTTCTTGCAATTTCATACTTTTTTAAAAATATATAAGTACAATAAACAATGTAATTGACTGGTATTTTGTTAAATATGAATACATAGTCTTATTAATAATAATAAAATATTTTATATGATAAATGTAAACCAATTTAAATTTTATTCAAATTTTCCTATTTTTCTAAATTATAACTTACTTTATTTTATGAAGATATATTTCTTTTATTAAATATTTTTATTAGTACATTATAATTAAATCTAAGATATAATTATTTGTTGGAAATTATTAATATCTGAAGGTTACTTTAAAAATTAGAAACACATTTTGCAAGCGTGATGGCGTTTATTATTAATAAACAATTTATTTAACAGGACCTTGATGTACACGAGAAAGAAGTATTCACGTTGTTTACTTATGCTTTTTTTTTAATATGTATGTAAATATGTAATATGTTTAATTTACGATTTAAAATTTCAAGTTAGGAATGAACCTTTCAATGTTCTATAATTTTTTGTTATATATTTGCATATAGATTTTGTAATATTGTATAAACATTTATTAATTTATATTTCTTTTAGATTTTTTGAATATTTGTAAAATATATAAGCTATAACATATTTCTTATAAACATTTCATTGGTATTAATTAAATAATAAAATATAGTGAGAAAAGAGAAATATTGATAAACAAAAAAAAGAAATTAGTTTATAACAATTGCAATTAACAAAAGGAAAATCTAAAATTTGTTTGAAAAATTTGTTTTAACAAATTTGTAAAATAAGAAGAAAAAATATAATAATCTTGCTCTTTGCATATATATAATAAAATAATAAAATTTTTTTAATATTTTATGCATTGCATCTTAATACATGGATAATACATGGATAATACATGTATATAATAAATTTTAAAAATTTTCTTTTAAAATAGAAATTTTTTTTAAGTTATAATATTGCAAAATAAGTTATAATATTTAAAAAATGAAATATTAATGATATAACAAATCATGAGACAATATGCGAAATATAATATATAAAATATACATTATATTCTTAGTATATTAATTATAAAAATTTATAGAAGATAAGCAAATAATTTAAGACAATCAAATATTGAACTTAATTTTATATCAAAAGATTTTTATTATTATTATTTTTGGTCCATTCCTACTTTTTTAATTATTTTAGAGCTTGCATTTCAATTAATTGATGCAATAGATTTTGAGGTCTATTCTCATATATTGAAACAGTGAAAATATTCACATGTTTTGAATTTCTATATTTTTATTTATATTATAAGTATATAATTTGTCCAATATTTTTGAAATTGTTAATTATGGTAAATTTACATCTTTTACTATTTTCTGACTACTTAAAAAAATATATGGAATATTAATTTTTTTTTCAAAATATTGAAGTTTTTAAATCATAAGTATATTCAATAAGAAGTATAGATTGCGCAAAAATTCATAAAAGATAAAAAAACAATATTTTAAACAAGTCTACGGATCGAGCACTAAGTTTTTTCAATGCAAGCTCTAATTTTTTTATTTAATTATTTCTGGCAAATGTATTTATCTATGTATTTGTTTAAGAGTTTTTTTGTATTGTGTTTCCGTGTTTATTTTTTTGAATTAATTCATAATTTTCGGTATACAAGTATGAAGTAGGAGGCTGGGCACCGCCCACCGAATTATCACAGTCGTCTGGTGCCGCAGCACATACGTATACGTGGTTCAGCCTTATAACCTACCTCTTAATCTATCATTATTTTATAATTATACTTAGTTAAGAGTGTACAGTATAGTCCCGTACTAGGTGATTGACGCGATACGAACTGATCCTTAGTTCTATTCTTTTACGTAGAGTGCGAATTTATTGCTGGTACTTGTAAATACAAACGACCTAATCGAGTACGAGCAATTGTAGATTTTTTTATTAATTGTTGCTCCTATTAAAGATGAAAACAAAGTAGAAAATAACATTAAATAATATTCTTTCAAATTAATTTTTTCGTTGAT